TAGTCAAGCAAACAACAGCCAAAACAAATTGTTTTGCTTGGCAATCTGAAAAATCCAAATTGTTGAGACAAAGACTGTAGAAACACTGTCAAAAACAACTTGTTTTAAGCACAGCCTGATATATGCAGAGGTAAGAAAGCCAAGCTTAAAATCCTTTAGATTATGACTTTGCTTTGCTGAATGGACAAAACCAAAATAAATACGGGACCCAAAGTAGCTGCAGCTTTTGCTTTGTTTTCTGTGCACATCATTGGTGTTTTCAGAATCTTTTCAGAGTCAGAAAGAAATCCTTAGGTCAGCAGAGATTAATTGCAAGGGTAAAAATAGAGCAAAGCACTCAAAAACAATCTAAGTCATTTTAGCCCATACAGGAAGACAATGCCAAAGATGCATAGCATGAAGAAGCTCCAGAGGAAATTTCATTCTCTACCCTTTGGTGATACGAAGAGCATCCTAATCTACCACTGTTACTTGCTTAGCTTGAGCAAACTCATACCCTGGTGTGGGCATGGTTTTACCCTCAAAAACAACTATCTAGAGATTGATGCAGGTAATTGAATCCTTAGCCAAGAACACCCCACCATGCAGATTAAAATAAACATCAAACACAGCTACTATTACCATAAGCTGAGGGTTTTTTTCTCAAGAACTAGCAGTCCATGGTAGTCTTCCAGCTCTGTGTTTTAAACATCTGCAGTCTAGATAAAAAAGGGAAAGAAAAATCCAAAACCTAAGGAACCACTCTTCTTTCCTTCCAAGAAAACATTGCCATTTATGCCAACTTGATAAAAATAATGATGTTGAAGTATAGTTTTTTAAAAAACAATTCTAATATCAAGATGCTCTGGAAGGAGGGGAAAAAAAATCTGCCAGTTTCTTTCTATGAAAAACAAAACAAAACAACCCACAACAAAACAGCACAAAACCAACTAGGACTTGTACAAAGTAGAATTGAAGAAGAATATTGAAGACTGCCTTTTAGTTTTATATAAAGGAAACAGTTTGTAAACTATGGTTTTTAAGTGCAACCTTTTTCTTTCAAAATCATGCTGGGACTAGATCACTTCTGTAACACTAGAATTAGGGAATTCAGACAGGGAGGCAGCAAGCAGAGATTGAGGCTTGACATTTCCTCTTTCTGTTTGTTTGTTTTTAAACACACCTTGAAGGCTTCTGCCTTCAACACATATCTGAGGGTTTATTGAAAGTAGAAGAAAGAAGGGGGAGTAAAAAAGCAGAAGTTAAAAAAATACAAAAAAGACTCTCTGCAGCTACCTTCACAATTATTCTACCAGTATCAAAACCAACAATGTTTAAGTTCTGCATGTGTCAATTTTAAGTATTTGGAATATAACCTATTTTAGGTAATAGCATGAATTTGAAATAGACTCCAACTTATTCACATGCTGTGCATTCAAAATGTTAGCTGAGGTGGACATTTTCTGCCCCATATTAAATTATTTTTTAAACAAAGAAAACAAAACAAAACAAAAAACAACCACAAAAAAACCCAACAAACACACACACACACACAAAAAAAAAACCCCTCAACACTAAAACCAGAAAGTTGTGAGTTCAGGAAGAGTCACTGAGAAATTTTATTTCCAAATCCAAGCATGATTCTTGTTTTCCATTTATATCTTGGGTTCCATGCTGAGTTTCACTCAATTTTTACTTCAAACAAACCAAGAAACCTCAAAGACTAAACTCAGCCAAAAAGTCAGCTTTCATCTCACTTAAATCTGAAGCCATAAATAGAATGCCCTAAATTCATAAACCTGGCTTTAGCACCAGTTAAAAATGAAACCCACATTTCAAGATGTTTTATGTTCATAGGGGCTCCACCCATGAACTAAAACACTCCCTCCAATTCAATTCCTAATTTTAAAATGTCAGCTTATTTGTAGTGCCATGAGAACTCCTTGCTTTCTGAGTAGTGCTCCTTTCAAGAAGCAGTAAAGTTTTCTACTACGAGTATTAACAATTTAAATGCTAACAGCTAACTCAGAAATTTACATTGTATTTCTGATTTGCTTGTGGGTTAAAAAAAAAAGACAAAACTTTAAATACACATCAAAAAGCTAAAAATGGTGGAGATATTCATGCAAGTGCTTGCTGTGATATGGAGACTTAAGTCACATCTAATAGTTGTGTTTAAAATGAGAATGCAGAAAGTTTATTTTTGTCAGAAGTGAATTTATCATGCTCTTCAACAATGTTCTACCCAAAATAGTAGCAATTTAGTACACTGTTCTCTGAGTAAGTTTGACAGCCATAGAATCATGAAATCCACTGCACTAGCTCCTGTGAGAAAAATTTGTCCATAACTAAACAACCGGAATCGCCATCAGCATCATTGTAACAGCAGAGAAAGGCTCCAATCTGCAGAAAACATGCCCTCCCCTGTCCTCTGCTCTTCTCACTACGCTGTTTTCCTCAAGTTAATTACAAATACTGATTTTGCAGCTTTATTTTTCTTATTCTCAATGTTGTGTTTGTTGTTTTTTTTAAAGAAAAATAAAATAAAAAAGAAAGCTTATTGGTTTTACTGATTCACATCTCTTCTTTCTCTGTAAAAGCAAAAAGTGAGTACCATATCCCTTCCCTGGGTAACCCAGAGCACATTCAAGCAAAGCTGCAGAAAAACAAAGGAATTTCATCATTACAGCAGTAGCATGCAAAAAACTCGCCATCAGCATCATTGTAACAGCAGAGAAAAATAAACCAAACTAAAAACTCTGCATTAAAGGGAGATCAGGGAAACTAATCATATGGAAAGAACAACCCATCATGGGGCAGAGCTCCTGTAATGGAAAGAGCCTGACATCCTGAAACAACACTGGGAACAGATCTGGCTCACAAGACACTGAACGTGCATTGCAACACATCAACATTATTAAGCAGCTCATTCAGGTTTTTTCACTGTTTCCCCACCCTGGAGTGACTGGGCAAGGATACTTTTTTTTCTCAGACCATACCTCATTGAGAAATTGCCTTCCAATATTATCTTATTAAAGTACTGGTTAGGGAAGGCATCAAAGAGTAAGCATGAAGCAAGATCTCCACCTTTAGAAAGGGAAGACTCAGCAGTTGAAGGATTTAGCTGAAAGACTGACACAATATGAGGCACTGGAGAAAAATCCACACAAACCAACCAATCCACACACTGTAAAGCTCAACAAAATGGATTCTCTAGAGTTTTTCTAAAGGAAAAGCTCGTGCAACTTTTCAACCTACAGCTGAGACATTGCTTTTATCTCTGGTCTGCAAGGAGGGAAGGGGGGTAAAGAGGGAAGCTTGATTAGCTGAGACAATAATTTCTAAAGCAACCTCCAGCCACACCTCACTTTTTTTAGCAGCCACACAGGTGTTCTCATATCATACTGTGATCCTTCATTCATTACAGAAAAGCATGAAACTAGAGCATCAATCCACTGCTTCTCTTATTTTGAGAAATCAGAAGGATAGTAAAAATAACCTTCATTAGCAAAGGATAAAACACAGGCTGGGCTGAAAAACACTTCACTAGACACACAAGCATTTAATAGAAAAGACAACTAGCCATGAAAAGGAAAATCCATTTGAGTGCAGATGCATCTCAACATGGATCACTAGGTCAGTGCATCATATACTATATCTCCAGGATGTTCAAGTATTCAGAACTCACAAAATCCTATCAAGATAGAGCTTAGAAATATGATTGCAGCAGCAACATTCCCAAAACTGAGTTTAGGGTTTGCACCAAATAGCAGGGGAGAGACAACACCACCGTCTCCAACATATGATTTATTTCACCTTTTTGTCAATGAGGCCCACACTTGTCTCACTACACTTCTTTTCTTGACAGCTTCACCCAAGTACAACCATGCTAAAAGTCTCCTTAGTATTCTACTAAAAGTCAGTGGGTGCTTATTCTAAGGGTCCTGAAAGACAGGAGGGCTTGCCTGAGCTATCAGGCCTCTGCTGCAGAAAATCCTCCACTGGCTCCTGAACTTGCAAGGGACTTGTAAGGCAGGTGAGGACTGGCAATGGTTTATCTTAAACTGCAGCATTGTAGGATGCAGGGGCCCAGGAATCACATCAAGCTATAGTTTAATCAGCATCTGAAAAGCACAGATGGGGTGCTATCTACAGGCAATGACCTTGAGCAGGGAAGGCTGACAACAAGTCTAGGGTCAACCGCATTAGTTTAGTTCACTGGCATTTCCAAGTAATTACTCTGCATTAGGCCCAGATTATATTCATAAGCTCATACAATATTATCTACAGAGTTCAAGGGCAAAAAATGGAAGAAACGGGGAGAAGCAGCTTTTTCTGGTAAATAAAGTCAGAAAACACAAATTCTGAAACGTGATTAAATTAACACGCCCACAATACCCAGCTGAGGAAGGCAACGAGCTTTGTTTTTACTCTCAGATTTTCTTCAACAAGAATAATTTAACTTGATTTCCCACCACAAATATGGTGCAACAGTATTTACTCACACTGCAGGTTCAGAAAGATGAGAGAAGTCTGGCTCTGTGTCAGCCTTATGAGAATCCTATAATAAATAATGCTTTAACAACATACCACAGGTAACACGAGGGAAAGAAACCCCAACAATCCCAAAGCCAAACCACTGCAGAAAAATATATTATTTTTTGAAGGAGCTGCTTTTTGGAGTGGAAATCACACAATGCTTCATAGTCCCAGGATGACAACTTCAATTACATTCTAGTACATAACTAAAAGGTGAAGCAGAAGACAGGCTTTGAGAAATAATCCAATGAAGTTATGAGATACCTGTACCTTTCTCACCCCACTTTCTAGCTATTTTACTGCTTCATTTACAGGATGGTCACTTTACACAGTTCTCCTAGAATAAAGGTGACATTAGCCTATCAAGTCTCAAAATGAGGGCAATACAAATGCACAAGAACAGCATAAAATGACAAAGCAACATTAAAAATAAAATTGCTGTGTATTTACCTTTGTTTCCCAGGAGAATGGAGCTGAGTGTTCATCTTGCCAAGTTATGTCCTGAAATAAAATTCAAGAGTGACTAAAAATCAGAAGAGTAGCTTTACCTGCTCAGAAGCATCATACAGATGACATTGCATTGCACTGCTGGAAGCATCATAACCACTACCACAGAACTTGCTAAAAGTGAGAGTACTGCTTAGAGATGGCACTTATTACATGCTAAAACTGACTGAACACACGTTCTCTGAGGCGAAGATTATCAATTAGTATGTCAATTTAACCTACAAAATATATGATGGTTTAGCCTGGTCTAAACCTCTTGAAGTGGTTTCTTTATAAATAGCTTTAAAACATTGTATTTCCAGTTTTCTACTAGGCACTTTCTTTGGTAGCCACTAGCAACACACAGGGACAGAAATAAGAGGAGCATGGTTCTTAGGGAAATAAAGTCCCATTTCCTCTCCTCTGCAGACCAAAGAGCACGTGTGCAACCAGGCAGTCACGTGGCAGCAGAACAGCTGCATGTCCAAGCCACAGCTGGATCCTGCCCTGACAAGATACAACATTACACCACTTCAGGGACAATCAGTCCGAAATAAGAATTCAGTGCTGTTGAAAGAGCCACACCACATCCACAGTACAATCCCAATCTGAACTAGCTGCTTTTAAGAAGCTGTTTTCCTGATAATAATCACAATTTGAGAAATTTAAATAATCTCTTCACACACAGCATGCCCTCCAGAAATACACCAACCCACATTGAGAAAAGGAGTAGTGATAAATCAAGAAATAATTGTTGACCACATTTGTTCAAGCCTTGCAACAAAACGATCACGCTTCTTAGTTGTGGATGTTACTCATGTGTCCACTGAGTGTTCAGGCTGGTAGAGGCAATGGGTTGTACCCTCCACACTGAGCACAGCGCTGCATGGCCACCCCAGCACATCAGGCGAGGCACAGGAGTCAGAACAGCAGATGGAAGGAAGAAGTGTGGGAGTAACCATGCACAGAGGAGAGGACAGGACAAGACCTGGAGTGGCTGTTTCACACTCCTGTTGTTCAAGGAATAATAGAACTAGGCCATGTTTTAAACTAACACAGGAAACCCACATCTTGCCATGACTGCCCTTTGCTTCTTATTTCTGACCTCTCCCTTTATAAAAATATATTTCTCAGACATCTATAGCTTTCTCCTGATCTGCCACCTCTTGCTTCACTCTAGGCAGATTTTGCTTGCCAAGGGCTATGAAATCACAAGTGTCTGAAGCCCTCTCCTAAACATGAAAATGTGTCATTTGTCGACTACTACTCACCTGTGAAACACAGGGTTTCTACCAGCAAAGTGTTTGTAGTATATATGAGGGGGAGCCCATGCTCTTAAGAAGAACTGGGCTGATAAGGACCATCTAAAAGAAAAGGTCTGGGCTCTACTGGACCACACACTCTGGCCAAAAAGGAAATTTGGTACAGGAAATTTTTGCCAAGAACACAAGTATAATACTGAGTTATCTCATTCCAGGAAATGGATAGTCATGAACATCTAAGGGAAATAAAGGGAGTAAAAGTCTGCCTTATAGTGTCTATTTGAACTTCTATCAATGTTTGCACTGTGGAGTGCTGCTAACCACACGAGAACTCCACACCACTTAGGAGGGCTGCCTCGCAGCACCTGACTGTCAAATTATTTCAAATTTATTTTTGGACTGTATCCTTTGCATCTGAAACTGGTAAAGGTGGCACTTCACTTCCGAAGCGTGCGTGACTGGAATCACGGTTCAGGAGGGAAGAGAGATGGGAGAGCCCAGACAATGGATTGAGTCCCACACACAAGGCAGGATTGTAAGTCTTCTGTCCACATGGGGTCTAGACAAATCAGTACCCAACTTGGACCACAGCAGTAAAGGACAGAAATGAAGTGCAGCAAAGAGTGTAACACTCCTACATGCTGTCACAGTACCTTAAAGCTCCAGACATATTGGCATTGCTGTCAGCAGGTTTTACCTAAGGAGTTTAAGGGAAGCTCTGACTTCTTGCCATTTACAGGACATGCAATGAATGCAGCCGTGGACCAGTTCTAAATTTGTCAGTGAGCCAAGACCATCTTTGTCCTGGATCTGAGATGGACAGATTTTTATTTTCCAGTATTCGAGACAAATGTAGACAGCACCGGGAGGGATATCACTTCATGCAATTCTCCCTGTACATCCTCAACTCAGCAATGACACCACTGCTGCCAGCAAGCCCTGCTGGCAAAATGCTGCCTGCACAGGGACAGAAAAGCAGCACAGATCTTGAAAGTCTTTTCCAACCTTGATGGATTCTATGAGGTTGTCATGCACCAGGATACATCATTCCCTACAGTCCAGAGCAAATCAGCTTCCCACTTCATAGAATCTGATGTCTTCTAAACCACCATTGCACTTGTTGATACCTCAATATGCAACCTCAACCTCCAGCTTAAGCAAAAAAAAAAGCTCCTGAAAGTATTTTTGTACTGATTGTTAAAAAGCTCTCATCTGAGACAAAATCTAAGACTACCATAGATTATTTCAGAAGACAGAAGTTACAGACTCTTGTGAGGCAGGAGCTGTTCCCTGAAAGAAAAGGACCACAGACTTTTCTCTTAAAAGGATGATTCATTGTGTCTCAGATTACACAGTTCAACATCCCTCAGAGCCAATAAGTCTGAGGAGCTTTGCTCACATTCAAGAGATCTTCCATGGGATCTAGCAAAGGATAAAATAGGATAAAACATGGTTTGAGGATACAAAGCTTCAAGGAGTTTATGACTTGTTATTTGAAGTGTATTTGAAACTAGAATGAAGGAGACAGTTGTCAGGTCTGTCCATTGTCAGGGAGAGGAAGAAAGTTTGTGGCCTTCACCTCCTGTACCCTCACACATGCAGAGGACCAAGAGAGAAGCAGGAGAATAACACAGTTCAGCAGTTCCTTGTCTGATGTGCCTGATTCATGTCCATCTGACAAATAACTTTGCTTTCTGTAGAATAAACAAGTTTGAAGAAAATGAAGCAAAATCATAAACTATTTTCATATTCATAAAAGTAAATTATGAGTAGAAATTCTAGAGAAAATTACTTGAAGGCTATTTATCATCAACACTGATTAGAAGAGATCTGATCAGCTTTTGTTTTCAGCACACAACAAAGCCTTCTTCAAGAAAGAAGGCAAATAAATTAACTTTTGTTCACCAGTTTCAAATAACCTATTTGTAAGAAACAGGGCCTCATGCAACATATTTCATAGCTAAAAAAGAAAAAAAAGAGAAAGGCAAAAATACAGTCATACGCTTGACTTCAACAACCAGCTGCAGAATACATAAAACAGAATCACAAACTACATTTGCTGTATGTGGGCAGCTTGTTGCAAAACAGCATTTGAATTTCAAAATGGAAGACACTGGCAGACACGTGACATTGCTCAGAGCAGCTGACAGTAACCAGGCACTCACAAACCAATCAACAAAGTCATCTTAGAAATGTTATCAGAACAGGACTTGCTGGTTATTGGGGTTTAATTGCATGCAAAAGATGCCCTGCATTCTTAGTTTTTCAAAAAGCACAAACCTGTAACAGGCCCACCATAAAAAAGTTATTGCCATATTGACTATTTGTTGCTTTAAAACATTTTTAAGTAGGAGATAAGAGGGTTGATCCTTTGGCTTGGTACCAAAGTTCTTAAGGCTAAGCAAAACAAATATTGTATTTGCCTTCAGGTAGATAAGTCAAGCTTCCCCATTAAAAGATGATGAATGAAGCTAACTGAACTCTCTTAGCTGCTTTTCCTCCTCATAAAATGTCTACCACTTCCTAGAGGACATAGCATTTTCTTAAATTAAAAGTTTAGTTATTTCAAGTCCAATTTTAGTTATTTTAAGTCCAGCAGACTGAGGGAGGTTCTCCTTCCCCTCTACTTGGCCCTGGTGAGACCTCACTTGGAGTATTGTGTCCAGTTCTGGGCTCCCCCAGTTCAAGAGGGACAGGGATCTGCTTGAGAGAGTCCAACAGAGGTTACAAGGATGACTGGGGGACTGGAACACCTGCCTTATGAGGAAAGGCTGAGAGATCTGGGGCTTTTCAGTCTAGAGAAGAGAAGATTGAGAGGAGGGTCTAATTAATGTCTGTAAATATATGAGGGCTGGGCATCAAGAAGGCAGGAACAAGCTCTTTTCACTTATGCCCTGTGGTAGGACAAGGGGCAATGGACTCAAACTTGAGCACAGGAAGTTCCACCTCAACATGAGGAAGAACTTCTTTACTGTGGGGGTTACAGATCACTGGAACAGGCTGCCCAGAGAGGTTGTGGAGTCTCCTTCTCTGGAGACTTTCAAGACCCACCTGGATGGCTTTCTCAGTGATCTGCCCTGGTTATGTGTGGTTTTTCAGTCCTGCTCTGGCAGGGAGGTTGGACTCAATGATCTTCGGAGGTCTCTTCCAACCCCTAATACTCTGTGATTCTGTCATTCTTTGTGCTGCTGAATACTGCTCAAATGCTAAATATCCCTTAAAAAAAATAACTAAATAAATCAGACCTTAAATCCATGTGTATATCACACACTTGTAGATAAAGAGGGGCAGTATTAAGAGTGAGAACTTGTTGCACACTGAATATCTACACTGTCTTTCTGTGTAGCACCAACTGACACCACATCAGATGCTTAACACAAGCTGACCACTACAGGAGTCAAAGGCTGGTGGTAGTCTCCTACACAGAGGTGTTTTTCCACCCATTACCCTCATGATATCTTATAATTTACGGTATATTTCAAAATAGCCCATTTACATTGCATTTATATTAAATTCATTTTCTATTTCCAGATTTTCCACTGCTCAGTTAACCTTATTTTCTACAACTAGAATATCACTTTCTACGTTATTTTCTACATTAGACATAAATGGAAAAATGCCAGTAGCTGGAGGCTTGTCAGGAAAGAGGAAGCTCTGCTTGAAGGTTGCAGCCTCCCAAAGCTCTCAGCCAAAAGGCCTACGCTATCTAGACACTGAAAATGACAGTGAACAACCAGTGTTCTGGAG